TTAATTCTTTTTCTTTTGAGTGGCTGCAGAAAAGCAACGCAAACAGTTGACATCCAATGTTGTCACCCAAGTTATGTCTTCCGCTGACAAGAAAAGTAATCAAAATGGTTTATGCAGCTGAGGGGGCCCGGTAGACACAAGAACGCGATAGGCTTGGACAGCTCATGACGCTGCTGCCCCTCCTGGCCTGGCTGGCGCCCCAACTTCCCCCGCATGCTGCAGACGGCTGCAGACGGCTGAGCTGCATCTGAGTCAGCTGTTGCTGTGCTGCAGGTCACAGCAGTGTCTCACAGCGCATCAGCCAGGGTTTACTCTGCCACACTGCGCGGTGAGCCGCAGTGCTGCAGTGGCTGATTCACGAGCACCTCGGAGCCAGTACCGGCAGCAAAGCGGGGAGCTGGGGCAGTGACCTCGTCAACTGTCCCCAACTACGCTGTCCTCCTTTGTCATTTGGAGTCCTCTGACAGCAACGATATGCTGGATTCTCCCACCCCTCTGCTTCAGCAGTTTGCTTATGAACCAGCAGTTCAGCTGCTAACCAAGATTAATTTCTCTGCAGATATTTTCCTGTAATGAAAGCGCCTGGAGAGTTAGGGCATTGTCCTCTATTCTGCACAAGTTGTGTACTACACTATAAAGAAAGATTTTGAACCTTCTTTTCTCATTTATGTTTTATAGCAGTGTTTTTCAGAGCCTGGCATCAGGGACTGTTATTGCTTTTTCTGGTCTCTGATCCTGCTTCCCTATATCATCTCCCCACTGACAAGTCTTATGGTTTCCTTTGCACTGTAATATCATGAGAAATATTCACTGCAACTGAGAGTCTTTAAAGTGTTCAGATTTGCCAGATGAAGCTGCAGTTTCAATTAAAAGCTTTAAAGAAAGATGCCTCGCTACTCAGCCTGCAAATACCTGCTGTGGTCACAGCGGTGTATCTGTACACAGCCCCACTCCCAAGGAACTGAGTGAGGCAGGGAAGGAGTCCCAGAGCCAGTAACTCACTCATCTAACAGGTTACTTGATCCTGTCTAGATTCCCCTGGTTGTTTCCCTTTAAACGCACTGAAAATGCTCCTTACTAGTATTAGTCTAGCCCAGGAAGGGCATTAAAAAGCAGCAGTCAAACCTGAACCACCCTTTCTTTGAGATTCAATTGTGCCTTTGCTGTGTGAAGCTGAGTTTTTCGATAATGTTCTGACAGACCCAAAAGTTGAGATGGGAAAGTCTCATAGAGACCCAGAAAATACCCACAAGAGACTACATCAACCAGCAGGAAATCTCAATACTAGAACCATTTCTTTGCTCTTGCTGCCAGTAACTCTAGAGAGCACAGCCTGGGCACCGTGGGGCTGCAGCTATCTCTGGTCACCGTCTTGACAGCTGGACGCTGCAAAGAGGTAATTCTCTCTTGACTGGTGAATCAATGCAGAGAGAAGGCAAATATTGGCAACCCAGGAAGAATCAGCTATATATCCTCCAAACTTACTTTGTACTTGAGCATTTTAGCTTTCCTTTGGCTGCCAGGTACTCCTGCAGCTGTCTTCTTCGCTCTTCTGCAAAGAGATTATAGGAAAAGGTAGTGCGCGTGCCACAACCTCATTATTTTGAGCACTGATAAGAATGGGTTTCTTTCACATTCACAGCATTAAAGTTATTGTACAACTGTACAAGTTCCCTGAGCGCCCTGCCTGAGCCTGGCAATGCTGTTCCCAGAAATACCCCATCAACATCCTACTTTGCAGAACATTTCCATGCATGTGATATCGCCCAGCGACTCATTAGCACATAAAGACCAGAGCTCTCTGACACTCGCAGCGTGATGCTGCTCAAAGCCTCGGTTGCGTGAGGCTTATTCAATTTGTAGAAGGAAAGGAGAGGAAAAGGGAGATGCTGCTGCTGACCCTCCTCTGCTGTGCAATGAATAAAGACATTCTCCAGACCTTCCTTACAATGAAGGCAGAACACAATCCTTTCTTTTTAGGTTTCCCTCTTCTTTAGACTCACCAGCTGGTTTTACGACATATGGGCTTCTCGTAAGGCTTGTCTAAACTAGAAAAAAACTAAGCTTGTTGGCAAACAGTAATCTTCTCCCTGGATTCCCCCAGGGACCCTCTGTCTGCTCACAGTTACTATTCAATCGCTGTTTAGTTCACCCAGAGGCTCCATCTCAACTGTGTAATTCATATCCCATAAGGCTATACCGCTCTGCGGCCAAGCCCCCTGGCACTGGAGGGAGTTGGGAAAAATGAGCAGCAGCTCAGCCGGGGGTCAGGGCGTACCTCCGACTCTCCCAGTTTGGGTGAGGGTTTTGGTACTGGGGAATCTCACAGCAGAGACAGTCTGGCCCAGCATCACCCAGTGCCCAGGGCTGGGACCCCGCTCTCCTCCCAGGAGGGCTTTGGCCCCATGCCCAACACCGGAGTTGGCCCAGCCACCTGCTCAAAGGGGTCCCCCGAACTGCGCTGGCCCCACGTGGAAGCCTTCATCCAACAGCCCATGTGTCTGGGCTCTGAGGGCACCTCCGACCCCCCTGCCAGCCCTCTACCCCCCCAAAACACCCCCTTCTCTTGACATTGTACCCCAACGCTTTCACAGAGTCCTGAGAGCCATTCAGCACCCCAGGGTGCCGCAGGACCCACTAGTCCTGTCACATCCTGCCCCCCCCAGCACTTCAAGACACACCCCACAGGACCTCCCATTGCATCCGTCCCCCAACTCCCCACACCCTACAGGGCTCCCCATTGCCCCTGCCCCACAGAGCCCCCCAGATCTCCGCTGTCCGCCAAGGGCCCTCGCTCCACAGGCCCC